GTAGGAGAATGGCGCAAACTCTACTCTGTTGTTTTCCTTCATGGACATGGAGTATAATTCCTATCATAGTACTTACCGATGAGGATAAAAAGGAGAAGAATAAAATAAACGTTTAAAAGATTAGAAAATAAGATGAAGTAAACGGACTGCGAAAGTGAATGGAGGGAAAGGTAAGAGCAACAAAAAGAAGAACAAATGTAGCAGAGAAAGTCGCAGGAGAACAACAAGAAGAGAAGGAGGAAAAAGACCAAATGGATAAAAATGAAATGGAGGTGGAAGAAGAAGGGGGGACCACTGAGGGAAAACCAAGAAGCAAAACCAGCACTGGTGTTTACCTGAATCTTGCAGGCAAACTAGTTGCCTCGCTTTTGTTGAACTAAAGTCATTACAGTACCATTTGCCCAATAAATCTAGACCACTTACCTGCCATGGCGCCGAAGGCCTCTGTCTTGAACTCCTCCGGCTTAGCTTTCGGCCTTTCTTTTTCTCTTCCTTTTTGTGGCTTCATCTTATTAGGACTTGAGCCGAAACTTTTCAGGAATCGATTCCAATCAACAGGTCTCGTAGGTCTTGGCATCAGGATTAAAAACCTGGCTTCTTCTGCGGTTATGGTGTTGTTTTTATAGTCTGGTGGGGGTAACGGAAGTGCTGTTTTTACTATGGGTGAATGCAAGAGTGATGGTGACAACATAACTGATTCAGGGCTTTCGGTTTTGATGTCCTCCATATCCTTCGAACTGATCGAGTCTAGGATGCTAGTGATCTGCTTTGTAAAAGCGCTAATGGTTGGTTGACGATCGCTTCTTTCAGTTTGTCCTATCATTTGACTGTCCCCAGGCGATATTTTATGATGATGTGTGACTGGAACTCTCTCTGTGATGCTTGTTCTTGATTCGCCACCATTCGAGGCAGCCTGATCGTCTCTGACCATTGATGCTGTTTCTTGGGGCACCTTTATCAGGTTAGTTTCTTTCTCAAATGATAATATGTTCGGTGCCCGTTGAAAGTTCCGGATTTCATTTTCGTGTGCCATGACTTGTTCTTTGCTACGTGATACTTCATCTGCTGTTACTGGTGAAGAGGAGAAACTTTTCCGATGACTGCCTTTATTGGAAGCTGAGGCGGAACTGGGACTCTTATCTTGATGTGATGCATCGTTTTTGTGATGATTTCCATGTTCCTCTATCTGCGTGTATCTTGATGCGGGATCTTCGTTCCGTTTGAACTCGTTACCGACCCAACTGCTGCTAACAGTCGACGGTAAGGTAGTGGACTCGGCGGTTACCGTATTTGCCGTTGTCTTTGCTTCTTGGTCCGTCGTCTTCTTCGTCAGTCTTATCCTTTCGAACACTATGGTCGGATATGTCTTCATCGTTAAGGTTGACGTCTTGGTGGAAGCTGTCGTTAATCTGACGTGTATAGACTGCGCCGGTGTTTTGTTTTTTGCAGTAGATGTGGTTAACCGATGAAACATCGGAGGCATCTTCGTTGTTGCTGTTTCAGTGAGAGTATGAACGTCAGTCAGTTCAGCATCAGTTGGCTTTTTCCTCATTTGGCTGTTAGTTTCTGGAACAGTTCCAATCTTTATTTGGTAATTTCTTTCTGCATTTGAGCTCCCGTTATTCCTTGCTGATGTTTTTTCCATTTCTCGTTCTAGCAGAGCATTTATATTCATAACACGTTCAACTTTAGTAGGTTCTTCTTTCCCGAGAACGCTTTCTCCGGGTACAGTAGTTTGACTATCAGGTTCTTTTTCTGGCTTCACATTTCTGAAAGAATTTGGTACCCAGAAACGGCTACTGGATGAAGGAGTACTGGTGACTAAGTCTGCGGTCGAAGATTCACCGTAAGTTCTTCCATTGCTTATTGTTGTCACAACATCTGGAGAAGATGTAACTAAGCGTTCAGGCAGAATTGATGATTCAGCTATTGTTGAATGTGAGTATAAATCGTCTAAATCGTAGACCTCACCGACGAAGTTCATGTCTTTATCTTCCTCCATTTTTGCATTGTTTACAAACGTGGAAAATTTAGTCAGTGGTTTGCGTTTGGACGCAGCTGTTATTAGATTCTGTAGTTGGGAACCGTGCTGTGAATTTGCATAATCGGTTAAGTCCTCAGTTATGAGCCTCTGTCGGACCAAACTTGGCAAAGGTTCTGTGTGATTTTCATTGGCTTTAATCGATGACTTGGAATCGGGCCGATATGCGAAAGACTGATTTTGCACCAGTGTTTGATTTTCTCCTGTCTTCACATATGACGTCGTATCATTCAGATTTGCAGTTCCTTTAGCCATCAATCTGCCCCGATCAAAGGAAGCTGTGATCGATTCGTTGTGCCCTTTGTTGAGAGCCGAAGTACCGTTGACCCGGTCGATCGCTAAACTGTCATTCACACCGTCACCCAGTTTATGTTTACTCTCTAACTGAATGTAATGTACTCCATTTGTGTTTTTTACTCCAACCGATTGCGGCTGCTTTCGCACAGGTAGAAGTTCTTGATCTTCAAGGCTTTCTTCGAAGCCTTGTTCTTTAAAGATTCCGCTGTTCATAATTTCCACATACTCGGCAAGACTGTTGTCCTCCAGCGCTTCCGGGTTCATTGTTACTTTATCCGTATGCCACGGATTACCAGCTGCTGCTGCTGCCGCCAACGTCGTTTTCATCGTCGTCGTCGTCATCGTTTGAGGGGGAACCTTGCTTGTGGACATATTTACTTTGTTCCCTTGCCACTGATGAATACTCATCTGTTCTCTGGCTATTTCGAATCTTGATGCCATATCCTCAGTCGCATCTTTTGATCCATTGCTTGTCGTCACCGACGCCAGTTCGTCCATTACACGTGGCAACATATCTTCGAAAATCTCTGCCTTTGTGTAATAAAGTGGCACCTTGCCGCTGCTCCACACTACCCTACGGCGGCCACTGGTTCTTCCGCCGTTTTCGATAGTGCGCTGTTGGTCGGCCTCTGCTGTTTTAAGCGGTGCTGGTGGTTTAAACGATGCTTGGGGCTGGATGGAGCCAATGCCGTCTTTTACCTCTCCACGCTGGCTACCAATTCGCCCATTCGCTTCCTTGCCTTCGTTGTTGTTAGTCATATGATTTTCTAAAAAATCACAATATATCGTATTCCTTTCTTTTTCGACAGTTTAAAACATTTACGCGCATCATTGACTAGTCGTTTTCCTACTCATGTTAGAGTTTGATATGTTGTCTTGTATTTCTTATACGTAAAACTGTCTTCCGTATGATGATGTGTTCCGTAAATGCGCCGCTTCGACAATAGCAGGTTGAAACCACCCAACGCTTTCGACAGAAACGGTTTACACGCATGATAAACGGTCTTTTGTGAATGGTTTCTGGCACCATGTTATCATCCATCATAATACGATGGACAAGGTAGTTGTTAAATAAGAAATTCTCTTTTCAGGCAAGGACGTCCAAGAAATGTTGCTGAGCTGGGCGGTGAAGGGGAGACAAGAATTCATGAAAGCTTAAGCTTCGCGGACAGTGACGCACTGTCTGTATATTACCACGTAGAGCATAGTCTATTCATTCCATTATGAATTATGATATTAATGCGCTGTTGAGTCTAAATCGGTTATATGCCATTTTTATCGCATTACCACTGAAGCCTCGTCTCAGTCTTAGAACTGATCATCGTAGATCTCTCAGCTTGTGATGCGGCAGATAATTCCACATCATCTGTCAGCTGTATGCAGGAGAACTTGCATAGACATTTAGGTATATGGGTGGTCACAGTGATAACTGAATGAAGCAGAAGTATTACTAGCTACTGAACTGCTAATCTCTTTCAATCTGGTTAAAACGCTGGATTGGTTGATTGATTGATTGATTGATTGATTGATTGATTGATTGATTGATTCGGCGACCTGTTCCTCATATTCCATCACTGAGTAAAACACGAATGGAGAGACGAACTCTGTAACAGTAGTCACCGTCCATGCGAATGATCTGCTTGTTTGTTCAGAATAAGCGTCATCTGGACACCACTGATATGGTGCGTATACTTTCGTAACTGTTCTGTATCTAAGATATCTCGAGGATGCGGTACGATGGTAATTTTAATGCGTTCTGACATGGCGATGACAAATTCTTAAATGGTTGTCCAAGGAAGCAACAGCTGTTCACCTTGGACAGGCAAGCCTAGAACATAAAGATACCCTGTCGGAAGTTATGCTTGCTGCCACCTACAAACAGAGTCCCCCGTATTTTGGGGGGATGCGAACTACTGTAATTAAATTTTATTAAATGGTAATTATAAAAAAATAACTGTGGTGTTACGTGTTAAACTGTCCACCGGTTTGAGCAACAATCTCAACAATTTTGCAGATTTATGCCGATTTAAAAAGTGATTAATAACGTGAATTTTGCTACTCAAGCCTTGGAATCCAGGCTGCAGAGGTTGCCTGTTGGCAGTGGACAGATGCTATTGG